GCCATTGCCTGTACTCAGTGGAGTTCTAGGTTATGGACATCTTGTTCGTCTCTGCTCCTGGGATCACAGTTTTAAGCAGAGCCGCCAGCTTCTCCTTGAATCATGTGAGAGGAAGGGCTTGATAGATATGTATTTTCCTTTTTTCACTTTTGTGATTAGAAAATACACATGTCCACATTTCAAGTGCTATCAGTTTGGGCCAATTAAATTTCTCCTTTTACTTGAAGTTGGCAAACTTTCTGTAAAGGGCCAGATGATAAATATGTCAGACTTTTCAGGTCATGCAGTATTGCAGCTATTCAATGCTGCTGTGACAGCAGCACAAGCAATGTGTGAATGAACGATCGAGGCTGTGTTCTAATAAAACTTTAGGGAAAAGACTATATAGTTCACCCAGTGTGGTTCCCTGAGTATAATAGTAAAGGAAAGAGATTGGCATTTAAACCTGTTATAATTAACTAGGGTTTTTCCAAAAGACAGCCTACACTGTAAGACCCTGAAATTCATATAAAAATTTCAATGTTTTTCTCAGACAACTGCTTAGGATTGACAGATATCAGTCTTCCAATAAGTAGTATTCAAGATATACTTGCTGAATAATTGAATAAATAAATAATGCCTTTGACTATCAGTTGTCTAAATCTAGCAAGATGAAAAAGAAAATTGCAGAGGATTTTTGTGTCAAAAATCACTTTTTTTATTAGCTCATATGTAGTCTTTTCCTAATAATTTTTTTAGGGGTAAGAGAAACAAAAGGTCATCTGAAATCTATGGCTGTGATAGGTTATTTAGGTTCTGGCATATGTATTTCATGTAAGATTATGCAAAATTAGCCCAGAATAATGCCAACTGTGAAAGTAAGAGAGAGCTTCTACTATCCTTTAGCAACTCTACAGTACAGTAAAACCTCGGTATAATGGACTAATTTGGGTGAGGAGGTGTCCATTAAAGCCAAAAGTCCATTATATAATAAAGTAGGTTTTCCGCATGCATGTTAAAAAATTGACAAATTAGTTTACCTGTTTTTACTTATGTAGGCATGTTTGTATAATTAAGTATATATGAAAAGTTTAATTTAACAGAAGAGTTTTCTGTATGTATCACTGTAATTTAAAATTTACACTGAATGTGTCTGTTACAAGCATGTCAAACTCACGGCCCACGGGCCGCACGCCTTCTTTATTTGGCCTGTGTTAGCCTTTGAGTTTGACACACTTGGTCTAGTAAAGGCATGCATACACCAGTCACTGTGAGTAAACAAATGCACGCGCCTGGGCGTGGCTTAGTGCACATAGGAAAGTCGCTAGCACTTGTTCAAACTGCTGCAGAAAGTCATGCCTCGTGACAACAGAATCAATTACTGGGCGCAATGCAGGGGGATCACAAGCTAATCATTTGACGAACATTGTTTGGGAGTGGTGACTCTTGGATTTAAATATGCAGACTATAGTTGTAGATATGTAATATTTATATTGGCAAAATTACTAGTTTTTTCCCAACATATGGCCATTTCACTACAATTTGTTAAAAAATAACCTGTTGCCAAAACCGGTTTGGCTCAGTGGATAGAGCATCGGCCTGCGGACTAAAAGGTCCCAGGTTTGATTCCGGTCAAGGGCATGTGCCTGGGTTGTGGGCACATCCCCAGTAGGAGATGTGCAGGAGGCAGTTGATCAATGTTTCTCTCTCATCGATGTTTCTAACTCTCTATCCCTCTCCTTTCCTCTCTGTAAAAAATCAATAAAATATATTTTAAAAAATAATAATAACCTGTTAATTTAATTACAAGCAAATCTTGGTTAAATGCATTTTTAAAAAACAGGGTGTTAATTTTCACATGAGACATACGGACTGGAAATTTTGTCCATTAAATCCGAAGTCTATTAAGTCACGGTCCACAAAATCGAGGGTTCACTATGTTAGGGATGAAAAAATACACAACTCGGCTTTGTCAGAGTTCAAGTAGATAAAACAACGATAAAAGAATCCAGTGTTGCCAAGAAATCCAACATATCCTATGATGAAATAACAAAGAGATGACATTGCCGTGACTCCAGGCTCATCCAAAACCAATGTGTGGTAAAGAATAAACGGTTTCAATTTCTCCTTTGGGTGTGAGACCTAGACCAGCCACCGCTGATTTAAGTTTCCTAAGCCAACCTTCAACAGCATCTGCTCTACATCATGACCAACAGAATACGCTAGGCTAGAGCACCAGCTCGCAAAGCCTTCCAGGAAACCAAGCAGGACAGAGGATCGCAATGAACCTATTTCGTAATCAGATGACATTTCACCCTCATTCTCTCACAAATGTAGTACAGTGGAGTTTCCCAAAGTCTACATGACATGCTAGCATTCCAGTTATGAAAATCAACCTTTTCCTGTTTAGCCATAAAGATATTTGCAAAAATGTGCGCTGGCCTGTGTTTCTAAGTGGTTAGAGCATCTGTCCATGCACTGAAGGGTCGAGGGTTTGATCTTCGGTCAAGGGCACGTATGGTCACCGGTATGTTTCTGGGTTGCAGGTTTGATGCCTGACCCGTCATCAGGAAGAGTGCAGGAGGAAACAAATTGAGGTGTCTCTCTCACATCGATGTTTCTCTCTTTCTCTCTTCCTCTCCCTCTCCGCCTCTCCCCGCCCCCTCCTTCCCTCCCTGCCTCACACTCCCTAAAAATAAACAGAAAAGCCCTAGCTGGTTTGAAAAGCCCTGGAAGGGTCCCGCGTTTGATTCCTGTCAAGGGCACATGCGCGGGTTGCAGGCTCAATCCCTAGTGGGGGGCATACAGGAGGTAGCTGATCAGTGATTCCCTCTCATCATTGATATTTCTCTCTCTCTCTCCCTCCCTTCCTCTCTGAAATCAATAAAAACATATTTAAATAAGTAAACAAAAATAAAAATCAATAGAAAAAAATATCCTTGGGTAAGGATTAAAAAGATATTTGCAAAAATGTAAATTATGCCACTCTTTTGGGGGGGAAATCTTTTTTATAATGATTGTTTAAATCCAATGGGTTTATTATTGTCATTTTAATGTAAATTGTTGAAAATTTTCTCAATTTGAATTTCAAATAGGATAAATACAAAAAAATATAACCTGCACACACAAAAGCTCTTTGGCATTCTCAATTTTAAGTGCAAAGGAGGTTTGAGACCAAGAGCTTGACAACTACTAAAATCAAGAGAAGCAGCGACGTCTTCGTGGCAGCTGGCGGGAAGCCATGCTCAGGCAGGCAGCTGTGGGACAGGCTCAGGGAGCGTGCAGCATTGCAAAGCCGCCAGTGAGATTTTCTGCTGATAACCAAGACAAAGTCTGAAAACGTGAAAAGTCCCTACAGAGAGCAAGTGACAAGTAGCAGAGTATGCTGATGGGTGTCAGGATAAAAACTGGTTTTAAGACCAGTGCCTGTTATACTTGCATGTTATCTTCTGAATAACACTGCTGGGAAGAAGAAAAGCTATCACGATTTCAGAGGCTGGCACTTACACATCATATTCTCAGAGCTTAGCAGAGGACTTGCACACAGGAAGAGCTCAGTATTTGTTAAACGAATGAATAACTATATAAGTTGTGAAGTTCAATAAGGTTGCAACAAAACGGCTCCATCAGGAAAGGCTGAGGTGCGCAGCCGTCTCACTAAGCCCAAGGAGCTGCCTCTCCCCTTTGCCTCCTCATGATCCTCATCCATTCCTTCTGAATTAGTCTGATTGAGAGATTACGAGCAAGCATCTCGTCTCCAGCATCTAAACTCAGTATGACCTAACAGAACTCTTAATCTTTAACTCCACATCTCCCTCAAAAACTTCCTGATGCTGAACTGGTTTGGCTCAGTGGATAGAGCGTCGGCCTGCGGACTGAAAGTCCCGGGTTCGATTCCGGTCAAGGGCAGGTACCTGGGTTGCAGGCACATCCCCAGTAGGGGGCGTGCAGGAGGCAGCTGATTCTCTCTCTCATCGATGTTTCTAACTCTCTATCCCTCTCCCTTCTCTATAAAAAATAAAGTATTTTTTTTAAAAAACAAAACTTCCTGATGCTTCTGCTTTTTTCAGCTTTCGGCTCAGAGGCAGCGTAGGTACAACCTCCTTCTTTGCTGCCTCTGTTCCCATCTAGTTCTCGGTGCAGTGTCTATTCCCATCTTCTCAGAGGCCTTCCCAGGTCACTGCAGCTAAGCACCCCTTCCCATCAAATGTTTACCACATCACCCTGGCTCCTTTCTGAAGAGCACTCATAACCTGAAATCAACTTGCTTACTTGTTCACTTCCTCCATGAGGGCAGGACCATGTTTATCTTGTTCATCACTGTATCTTCTATACTTAGAAGAGTGAGAACAATGCTTGTCCCGTGGCAGACATTGTTACACATACATACATGTTACAGAACCCGTCCTAGACGGCTTGGCTCAGTGGATAAAGCGTCAGCCTGTGGACTAAAGGGTCGTTTGATTCCAGCCAAGGGCACATGCCTGGGTTGTGGGCTCGATCCCCAGTAGGGGGTGTGTAGGAGGCAGCCAATCGATGATTCTCTCTCATCATTGATGTTTCTATCTCTCCTCCTTTCCTCTCTGAAATCAATAAAGAAATATATATATTTTTTAAAATGTTACAGAACCTTAGAGGTGACCTAGTCCTAAGCTTTCCAAAGTAATTCAATAGGCAAGCAACATAAGCAACTATTCTCTGTATCAAATTTTACCACTAATCTTGACTTCTGCACCGTAAAGGGTCTTCATTTCTTAAAATAACTCACATGTATTAACAATATTATGAAGTACATATTCTTTTCTAACAGTGCTCAAAGGTTTATAAAATATACCAGGATGCTCTGATGAAAAACTGCAGCCAATTAAGAATTTTTTGGCACTAAGTAGAACTATAATAAATATTTATTCAATGACTGAGATTTTAATGTTTCTATATGTGCAGTGTTACTGAAGAAATATTCTTTGGCCTCAAATAAGGCAATACCTTTGAAGTTGCAAAACTCAATTCTTACAAGAAAACAAGAGTAAATGGAAGTTTTTATTAGTGAAACAAGTAAATTTATATTTCCAACAAGGCTTTTATCCCCTATAGATGAGACAAACTACAATACTTTAAAACAACATAACTTAGTTTTTTAATATTTTCAAAATGAAAACATTTCTTTGGGAATTTAGGAAAGTAAACATTTGGGAAAAAATAACTATAGGAAGTTACTTTTTTCTTTTTCTTTTAATCTTTATTGTTGAAAGTATTACAAGAAGTTACTTTTTCAAATTTAATAATAGGTTGGTCTACAAGATATATTAACCAGCATTTTTCCTCTCAAAGGATCCATCAGGTACTAGACAACAAAGAACCTACCTTTAGAAAATGAGGCAGGAGAAGTTTATATTTAAATAGGGAGCATACACTCTAAAATACCAATCACATGTCACACTAACAAGTCAATCTACATAATTAGATATAAATTATTAATTACATTTATGTTAAGGTCCTAGTAAAGACTACATTGGTCTGACTGTATCTAAAGTTCGAATTGCACTCCTCTGGCTATAAAAGTAAATATAACAATGGAATTGGGCCCGTTTGACTAAGGGGAAAAAATATCTTCAATATTGCACATTTTCTTTCATTAAAAATGAAGTTTATTAAGTCAGGGCCATCTTGGTTCTGAATCTCTCCATTTTTGTGGGAAGAAGACTCACCATCTCTTTACTAAGTTCTAGCTCCACTTCTATTTCCTGAGCAGCTTCGGGGTGCTTTTCACAGTAATCAACTATAAATTTGTAATGTTCCAAGGATGTTGCCAAATTTTCTAGCTCTTTTTGGGGGTCTGAAGTGATGATTTTGCCATAGAGACGAGCAACTCGAAACTTAGCCAACATGGCAGGGCGAAGCACGTCTTCCCCTATATGCTCAGGAAACACTTTATTTGGGTCTCTCAGGGAGTCTAGGAAGAGCTGGTAGTACTTCATTGCTGACTTATTAAGATTATTTATTTTTTTTACGATGTGTGAATCGGGATCCCTCAGCTTGTCAGCAATGGCAACCTTCAAATCCATCATATCATAGTAAGCCTGTGCAATTTCAAACTGAATCTGTCTGTTGACCAACAGATAATACTGTGGATTCAGATCCACAATTAGGGGCTCTAGCATGGCTATTCTACGTTTATGCATCTTGCACCGTCTCTCCATGTCAGTTTCAAAGAACGCAAGCACTTTAAACAGAGCACTGTGGTCTTGGACAACTTCAATATGGTCAGTGACATAACCATCGATCTGAAAGAACTCTTTTGCTTCAGAGACATAGTGCTGACCCACTAAGAAAAGTCCTCTGGCTTCTTCAAAATCTAAAGGTCTCAAGTAGCTCACTTTCTCTTCCACTGCAGAGATGGCATCACAGAGCTCACCGGTTCCAAACTGCACAGCTTTCTTCCTGACGCTTTCTTCCTCATCGAGTTCTTTTTTCCTTAAAGCTCTCAGTTCAGATTGTTTATCAAGATCAAGTTCTCCTATGTTGTCCTGAAAGAAAAAATAATTATGAGTAAGTAGGGTACTGATTTCCTGCTGCCAAATAATATTAGAGCAAACTGAAGAGTAAAAAAGAGAGAACTCTCTTAGTTCCTAGCTTGGTTTAGGGACATATAATAATCTTAAGCATCTTTTAGAAGATTTCTTCTAATCGTATTTTTTTTTAACATATGTCCCCCCCGCCCCTGCTTTGACCCCCTCTAACTGGCCTGCAGGCTCCAGCCCGCCCCCAGGCTCCCCTGCCCCAGGCCTTCAGCACCCTATTGTCTGTGTCCATGGGTTATGCATATATGCATACATAAAATGAGACTG